CACTGATGTTTTTCTCTCTTCCTCCCTTCCTCTTTGAAATCAATAAAAATATATTTAAAAAAATATGTGCCTCAATTTCCCCACTACTAACAGGGAATAATAATATCAAGCTTTTTCTCCGAGTATTTTTATGAGGATTAAATGAGTTATTATCTATAAAGCACTTGGCAGAGTGCTTGGATATAGTAAGTGCTCAAGTAGTGTTTCTATGATCCTGAGGTGAGACTGGAATTAGGTTACTTAGGTTTTTTAAAGCTGGCTCATTTTCTCTAAACTGAGGATGATAAAGAGGTTTACAGACCTCGTAGAGCTGTTGTAAGGATGAAATGAAACGTAATAGTACAGTGCCTGGCAAACAGGAAGTGTTCCATGAACAGGATGACCATACAAATTATTCTCCAAATCGGTACCCAGAGTAAAGGGGAACTATTCATATTTATGCTGAATAAACTGGGGCTGTCCTGAGAAAACTGGGAGTTATGGTTAGCCCATCCATACATGTTGGCACTTTTATTTGAGAGTGTATGAGGGATAAAGTGACTAGAGAGAGGCTAAGCAGCAATTTTTACTACCTATTCTTACCTTGTATGTGTGTATTTTCACTCAGAAAAAAGCTTCTGAAAAACTGAGTTTTGGGAATTGTAAGATTAATTAGAGAATATACACCCCTATTTTTTTTAAAATTGTGGTAAAGTATATAACCCAAAATGTGCCACTTTTAAACATTCTTAGATGTAAAATTCAGTGGTACTAATTACATTCATAATATTGTGCAGACATCACCACTATCTATTTCCAATACTTTATCAGCCCAAACAGAAACTCTGTCCCCATTAATCACTAACTCTTTATTTTGCCTTCTCCCCAACCTCTGGTAACCTCTAACCTACCTTCTGTCTCTGTGAATTTGCCTATTCTAGGTATTTCATATAAGTGGAATCACACAGTATTTGTCTTTTTGTGTTTGGATTATTTCACTTTGCATAATGTTTTCAAGGTTCATTCGTGCTATAGCATATATCAAGACTTCCCTTTTTTTGGATGAAAGCATTTCTATTTTATTCCAGTGTATGCATGTACCACATTTTGTTTATCTGCTTCTTTTATTGGCTTGTTTTCACCTTCGGCCATTGTTAAATAATTCTTGATTTTTATTATTTTCTTTTCAAAGATTTAATTCCAAGTTCCAAGATTATGTTTACTAAACAATAATCATTAAATAAAAGTGCTGCAAATCAGACTCTCTTAAGACCAATGCTAGTAGGCATAAATCTAAATTTTCATTTTCAGGCATTTATTTGTAATAACAGAGATATATAACTAAGAAGTCAGAATTATTTTTAGGCAAGAGGGGTTGTCATTGAAGGAACCAGTCATATGGATTTATAATTCATAACTTACCTTTTCGTGCCACTGCAATAACACAGCGCTGCTATTGTCAGAGGGGCTCTCAAAGCCTTTATAGATATACTTCATTAGGAGATCCACGCCGTTCTTGTCCAGGGACTGAACTGCCTTTTCAATATCATTAGCTTTAAACGAGATGAGCACCTTCAAGACAATGCTGCCTGCCCGATCCTGAGGGTAAATAAGTAACAGAACAGTTAGACATGTGTGTGGGGTTACAGTTTTGCAAAGGCCGCCCTGAGGAGGTGACATGAAAGAGGAAACCGTGGGATGTCTGAGGAAAGTATTTCAGACAAGGAAAGAACAAGTGCTGTTAGTGTGTGTTCAGGAACAGCATGAAGACCTAAGGCGGCTGGGGCTGAGCCGTGAGAGAACAGCAGGCCAAAAAGTGAGAGAGGATGTGGGGAGACAGATGATGCAAGCCCTGCAGGCTACCGTGGGGGAACTTTGCCTTCCAGTGAGGAAAATGTTGGGTGGCTTTGAGAAGAACAGTGGTATAATCTGTCATACATTTGAACAGGATCACTGGGCTGCCCTGTTGAGAATGAGCTGGGTGGGGGTTGGGGGGTGGGGGGTGGTTTCAGGGACAAGGCAGAAGCAGGAAGACCAGTCAGGAAGTTACTGCAGTAACATAGGCTGGTTCTGGCTAGCATGGTAGCAATGGAGGTGGTCAAAAGTGGTCAGATTCCTGACATAGTTGGAGGTAGAGCTGAAAGGATTTGCTTATAGATGTGATAATCTACCAATTTATTCTACCCAGATTTAAAAAAAAAACTTTGAACCATCCTTCCGAAATAGGTTATTAATAAAACGTATTTTAAGTTTTGTGTTTATAGGTAAGAGACTCTTGATGTAAGATATCAGCAGAGATCACTTGTCTGTGACTCACCTTCACCGCCTGACTCTTGGTGTTGATAGGGGGGTTTTTCAGGGCTGCCTGCAGGGCAGCTGTCATGTTTCCTGTGATGGAGGTTAAGGGGATAGCAGCAAAGGGTGACCCTCAGGGAAGCATTGCAACTACCAGGAACCATTTGGGTCTTAAGACTGTACTTTATGTACAGGAAGAAAAATCACTATGGTCAGTATGTTCAATACTGGAAAATTCACCATTTTGTTTTCAAGTATGTCAATCAAAGAACTGATACTGAAAACAAAAAAGGGCATTAGATTTGTTTTTTAATAAAGCAAAGACTTTCCTCCTTGGTTCTAATGATCAAATGAATACCTTACTAATCTCCCATCTTCTAGTAAGACACATATGGAAATATTATTCAGTGATATTTATAAAAAACTCTAAACTATGCATCAGAATTATTAGGCCCCAAAGGGAAACAGCCTAACCTCAATAAAAACATGTCCATTTTATGTGATTCTAACTGGAAAAACAAAGATCAAATTTTTTTCTAGAATTATGATCTATATTAATTGATATGCTGGTAGAAAATGCTGGTAGATTAGCAATCTGAGTGACTTACATTAGTAATCTCTCCATATGGATGAAAAGAGGCATTACAGAACATATCCAATGACCCTTGGGTGACAACTTAACTCTGGGATATTTTCTCTCATATTTCATAAAGGCTATTCAAACTGTCTCAGGCCATACCTACTAAATGTAGTTTCTCTTTGAAAGCACCCATGAGTGAGCATGTATGAGACACAGAGGGCCAATCAGGCTGTCAGAATGTACGGTCATTCCCCTAAAAGGAAAACCACACAGAGCTCACTTGTTCCTCCATCTGTGAGTGTCTGACCAGCATTTGTGTCTTCTCTTTGTAACAAGAGCAGAAAAGACGGTGTCTTTATAAGCGGGTGCACTATCTGGATAAAGCAGAACCGCTCAGGGGTCATCTCCTATCATCTAAAATTAATTTCGGAAACATCATTCATTCATCACAAAGAATGTTTTTAGACAGAATAATGTTCATCACTTATTTTCCAAAGAAAGAAAACCTATGGTTGGTGGCAGTAAGCTGTTATTTCCAAGGTTTAATTTGACTTCTAGGGAAGTAGCCTTTTGCATGCAGACTGGCTCATTAAGAACCCAAACACTTAAATATTTAAATAACTCAAGGTAGCAACAGCTGATTGTAAAAGTTGTGGAAATGAAAGGAACATCTGTATGTTGATACATGTTTAAGGCTGTATTTTAGGTGCGTTTAAGACCAAATGTAGTTCCTACCAAATATTGTCTCTCATCTATTTCCTCCTTAGAATTAAATAGGACATTGATGAGGAAAGAGTCTACAAAGCCTTCCTTATGAATACACCCAAGAATAACTAGAAATGAGTGGATTTAGTAATTGAGAATCTCTAAAACTACAGCTTGGGCTATTGCAACATTTACATTTTTCTGAAGAAACGCTGATGCAAATGTGCAAGGTTATGAATATTCAAATATGCAAAAATTCAAACCCAGGAACTGACAGCCAAATTTGAACTAAAATGGTAACGATTTCATGATTATAAAAATGAGCTCTGCTTTGTACAAATGGCCCATCTTCTTCTATCCCATTCACTGGGGTTTACTTGAAATATTTTCTGGGATTCTCATTTCGTCTTCTCTACTCGTCTTTGTGCAGCGGGCAAAGCCTCCAAGCTTCCTTCTCGGAGTTCTGGTTGTTGTGTGCTCCTACCCCTTCCCCAGTTAACAAATTCTGTGCCAAATACCTTAAATAAAAATAAAAATAAAAAAGCCCCCAGGCTGGAAGGACAGAGGGCCTCATGCAGCAACCGCCCAATCTCTGCTGGCAAGGAATAAACTATCCTAACGCGACCACAACAAAACCATCACAACAGACACAAAATCACGAAAGAAAGATGCCCATCCCTCTCCGATGGAAATTTCTGGAGCTAACGTGACCCCAGGAAACAGCGTTCCCGGAGGAAAACGTCGCCCGGGTGCTGTCCCGGCGCCGCGAGGGCGCGGCCGGCAGACCCGGTGTCC